TACGCACACCTGTACACATCAACACACCTGCGAGCAGTGCTGTGGCTTTGTCATCCTGAACCCGTCGATGAGGATGGAGCGTGCAACCTCCACGCCCTTCATGCCGCCGTAAGGGCTGCAGCCGAGCGTGGCAATCTCGCCCAAGCACACGCCAAACGACCACACGTCGCTGGCACTCGAGAACACGCGCTGGTTCGGGTCCAGCGCTTCCGGCGCCATCCACTTCAGCGGCATCTGAACAGCAGGGAGCGGGGATGGAGAGAAGGACGGGTTGAGAATGGTACGTATCTGCTTCTCATGCGTCTCACCACATGCAATCCTGCACACGTGCACACACACACACACATACATACACGCACTCCCTCTCGTTCATACCCCCCCCACACACACACACATGCACACACACACTCGTTCATCCGCACACAGCACCTTTCTGAGGTTGTTGACGACGGCGTAGTGCCCCTCTGGGGAGGCAGCGACGTCGCGGGCAAGACCAAAGTCCGCAATCTTCGCCGTCAGCGCAGCGTCAACGAGCACATTGCGCGCAGCCAGATCCCTGATGTGGGGTGAGGGTGATGGCACGGTGAGTGGTGTTGATGCCAGGTGGGGGTGCTGGCATGTGAGGGAATAATGGCAGGAACATGAAGCGCTGCGGTTTCATGTTCGCACACAAGCACACACACAAGTACACACACACACACACACACACACACACACACACACACACACACACACACACACACACACACACACACACACAAGTGCACACACACACGCACAAGTACACACACACACACACACACACCACACCTGTGGACAATCTGCTGACTGGCGAGGTGGGCCATGCCGCTTGCAATGTCCATTGCAAACTGCAGCAGGCGGTCGGCGGGGAGGAGGCAGAGGTTGTTGCTGCCGGCAACGCGGGACGTGCGCAGGTAGTCGCGCAGGTTCCCGTTGGCCATAAACTCCACCAGGATGAAGTATGGCTCCTCCTGCGTGCAGATGCCGAGGAAGGCGACGACGTTCGGGTGGCACTCAATCTGCATCATGAGCTCGAGCTCCCCAATAAAGTCCTCGTGGTCCGCCTCGCTCGCCGTCTCCTTCAGCATCTTCGCCGCCACCGTGTGCACGCTCGACCCCTCGATGATGCCGGGCGCCTCGGCCGTGTACACGGCACCAAACTGGCCCTGTCCCAGCAGCTCGCCAAGCTGCAGCTTCGACCGCGGGTACTGCCACTGCTTGGGCACCACAAAGTACGACGACAGATTGAGCTCCGATCGGCTCGTGTAGATGATGTCTGCGTTGGACGCCTCGCTGAGCGCGGCGGACGGTGGGCGAACAGATGTGGCTGCAGAGGACGACGTGGGCACGCGGGAAACGCGCGTTGCATCGTCCATACCGCCGCTGCCGCCGCCGCCGCTGTTGTTGTTGCCGTCCTGCGTGTACACCGGCGAATCCATCCACCTGCCGACGCGCTTTGGGTCAAAGGGGGCGGGGACGGGTGGCGCAGCAGACTTGGCGCCGTTGCTTCCGTGGCCGCCACCATGGCTGGGGTCGAACGTTGGGTTGAGGTTGACAGACCCGAGTGCTGTGAGGACGCTGTCCACGTTGTTCTTCCGGCGGCGCAGCAGCACGACAATCAGGATGGCAATGAGCACCAGGAACAGGACAACGCCCACAACAATGCCGGCAATTGCGCCCGCATCGCCAACTGCGGATGAGGACGTGGTACCACCGCCACCACTCGTCGTGGCAGCCGTGCTTGTCGATGCAATTGGTGGTGTCGTGGTCGCGTTGGCAGCAGATGGGGTTGTTGTTGTTGTTGTTGTTGTTGTTGTGGTTGTTGTTGTTGTTGTTGTTGTTGTGGTTGTAGTACTGCTGGTTGTTGTTGTGGTTATCGTCGTCGGTGTGGCTGTGATGGTTGTTGTTGTTGTTGTTGTTGTTGTTGTTGTGGTTGTTGTTGTTGTTGTTGTTGTTGTTGTTGTTGTTGTTGTTGTGGTTGTAGTACTGCTGGTTGTTGTTGTGGTTATCGTCGTCGGTGTGGCTGTGATGGTTGTTGTGGTTGTGGTTGTCATTGGCGTATTGGAGGATGCGGCAGGCGTTGTGGTTGTGGTCGTTGTCGATCCTGGAGCTGTAGTTGTGCCTGCCACCGTAGTCGCTGCTGTTGTTGTGGTTGTTGTTGTGGTTGTGGTTGTGGTTGTGGTTGTTGCAGCTGATGATGTGGAAGTTGCCGTTGTGGTGGTTGGCGCGTCCCGCATGAGGTCGCACGTTGGATCCAAAGGGCTTGCCCTTTGCTCCACACCGCCGCACACACTCGCGTCTCTGCAGAAGCTCGCAAACCCGCAATCGGACAGTGTCTCGGAGCACACATTTTCGCCGCTGACACAGAATGTCGGTGTCTCGCACTGCGTGCACAGCGCGGGGCAGTTGCCGTTCGGGCGAACGGGCCCGAACGACGTGCCTTCAAGGATGCGTGCAGGCAATGACGCGCGCGCATGCTGCCAGCGCGGATCACCATCACGTTCTCCCTCAATTTCATCGTCATCGTCATCGTCATCGTCATCGTCATCGTCATCGTCATCGTCATCGTCATCATCATCATCGTCAGCACTATCATCGCGATACGTGGTGTCGGCGGCGCGGTACCAGGCCGTGCGAGGCGGTGTCAGGAGAAGTGACGGCAGCATTCCACTGGTGCGGGCAATGAGGTGTGCTGGCGCTTCATCCGACGTGATTGCGTCAAGGCCGGCGCTGGTGAGGTGCCAGCCTACGGACGTGCGATTCTCGGCAGCCACACGCATCGTTGTCACTCGCGGGATCAAGTGGTAGCGCGACGTGCCGTTGGTCGCGTCTGGTATTGCGAGGGGAACGGACGATCGGGCGATACATGGATGAGGGAGGGTGACGTGGACGTGTGTGTGTGTGTGTGTCATTGTGCGTGTGTGGAAGTGTGTGTGCGTGTGTGCGTGCGTGTGTGTGTGTGTGTATGTGTGTGTGTGCGACGGTCGCGGAAGTACCCACGCGCCCTTCGTCCACCCAGCTACATAAACACGCACACACAAACGCACATGTGCACTGCAAAACGAACTAACTACGGAGAAAAGCGATGGGCCTGGCGGCGATGGCGGGGGCGTCATGTGTGAGGGCGCGGGAGGCGACAGTGAAGAACTTGCCCGAGAGCTGCGGGATCGCAGCAGAGAACAGACACGCAGACGGGGCTGTCGGGGGAAAGGGGGAGGGAAGGAGGAGAGGATAGAAGCAAAGAGAAACGAGGAGACATGGGAGTGAGACATGGAAGAGCAACAGGGATGAGCAACGAACATATAACACATACAACACACGTACTCGCACACGCAATTTGCACACACACAAAAGTACAAACAAACAAACAAACAAACAAACAAACAAACAAGCAAACACACACACACAAACAAAGTACACAAGCGCACCGTTTGTGTCTGCGCATGTTGGACCGGCTGCAAAGCCCCAGCAAGTGCACGCGCCGCCAATCTTGATGCCGTGGTAGCTGCAGTCGCCGCCCTGAAAGTCCTGCACAACACTGCTGCGTGGCACATTACCGCCGTTGATGGCAAAGACGGTGAAGGCGGTGACTGTTGCACCATATGCAACACCCTGGGCGGATGCAAGCCCGTCTACGGTGACGATGGACGCGGCGCTGGTGGTGACCGTCTCGGGCGAAAAGCGCACGGCCCCGGTGACGACCATCTGCGGCCACGCAAACGAGAGGGACTGCTCTGCGGGGCGGGTTGGTGGTGGGCCGTCGCGAACAACGACGCGCACTTGTGTCGTGGTGGCGGCGTTGTTGATGTTGAGATTGCCGTCGAGATGGAGGAGGTGGCCGAGAACAACGTCTGCATTTGAAAGCTTATCCAGCTTGATGTGCCCGTACACTTGCAGCGGTGGGCAGGTCGGCAGCGGGTCGTCGGGGAGCCGATCCACATCGTTGGCGTTGATGAGCACGCGCAGCGGGGTGGTGGAGGATTGGCCAAGGGCCAGCGCGACAAACGTCATGGTGCTGTCGCTGTTGACGCGCATGGCAAACTCTGGCGACCCGAGCGAGAAGAGGCAGGGCACGGTGAGATTGCGTAGGTGGGAGTTGTCGCTGGCATCCACTGGCTGTGCGTTGATGCCGCCGCCGATGTGCAGAGGCCCCGCGTCGACGCTTCCCAGTGTCAGGCCGCCCATGGGTTGGATCTCCGACGGGCTGCCGTCGTACTCGAAGGAGATCTGGCCACCCACGTAAATCAGGTCTGGGAAGCCCCATGTGCCTTGGAAGTTGCCACCGAGCACGAGCGTCATGTTGCCGTTCACCTGTGTCAGGTTGGTGGTGACCACATCATCTGCACCATCGCGTACGCGGACAATCACGGAGTCGCACACGCGTGGCGCGACTGTGGTTGATGTCTCAATCAAGCAGGGGACTTGGTTCTCGTGTTCGCCTCCTTCCTGTGCTTGTGCGGCTGGCAGCAGAAGGGGCGCCGCCAACACGCAGCACAGCACGATCACTGTGGCGCATGACAGCGACCCAGTGACGCTGTCACGTAAGAAGCGGGAGCCCACAACGCTGTGTTCTCGGTTCCTCGCTGAGTGTGTTTGTGTGGGCAGTGGTTGTGTTGCTGTTGATGGGCGTGATCTTGCCTGGTGCAGTTCTCGTGGGTTGAAGCAACAACGTGGCGCGCCGCGCCCGCCTCCTTGGCGGTGACGCGACTTGTGCATTGCTTGGTGAAAACCAAGTCGAGCGGCGCCAACGTGAGAACGGAGGGAGGTGGTGAGAGATGGTTGTCTTGTGCTTTGTGCTTTGGTGATTGTGTGTTTGTGTTTGTGTTTGTGCTTGTGCTTGTGCTGAGCGAGCGTGGCGTGAGGTGTGATGATGACTCCTTGTTGTGTGGTGGTGATATGGGGAGGATGTGGTGGGAAAAACGCCAGCGCGAAGTGCTGGATTGGATTGTGGAAAGTTGTTTGAAGATATTCGCGATAGG